AGCGTGGGGCAATATGTACTTATGTGTCTGGTGGCGCTCATGCATCTATGTCCGTGGGCGCCACATCCCCACCGTAAAGCGGAATGCCAGTGTCGGAGCTAGCGCGCACTCGTAGCCGGCAGCGCCCCGGCGGCGCTACGCGCAGGTGCTCTCGCATCCACACTGAGAGGATGCACCTCTAACTGGCTGCATTCTCATCCGTCGACGTCGCAGTGGCCCTGGCTATCGCTGCCCATCGCCAGCAGCGTGAGCTCCGTAAGCGGCGCGAGTTGTCGCGCGACGTCGTCGCGATGGGGCAGCCAATCTCCCAATTCGCCTCCTGACCTGCTACCTGCTCCTGCCGCGTGCAATAGAGATGACAACATTCCCCCCGAGGGGCAGAACTTCGCCCGCGCGGCTCGCCGCGCCAAGTCCTGGGCGAACCGCGCCCCCTGGAGGTCGGTCCAGGCGCCGGCGCCGACGGTGGTGCCTACTGATAGCGATCGCTCGAAGTACATGCCAAGTAGCATGGCGGGTCGTCGTGCGAGTTCGAACCTGCGCCTGACGAAGTGGGCCACCACGGGAGTGTAGGCCCATCTGAAGTAAGCCCAAATGGATGCACGTGAAAATCCAGGCGGGCGCTGCATGGCACCGCTGCGCCCGCTGCTGACCGGGCCGTGGCGTCGAGACTGCGCTTTGTCCTGTCGCGGCGGCGTCTCCTCCAGCGCGCCCCCTGCAGGCGCCCCCCTGGCCGGCGCAGTGGGCCGGGCCCGCGGGCGCGCGATCTGCGCCAATGCAGCGGAAGATGTCGATGGCGTCGGCTGGTCCGCGGCGCGCGGGCAGCGGGCCGTGCTGGCGGCGGTGTTCTGCGCGAGTTGCAGGTGGCATGCGCGGCGCAGAATGCGTCGGCGCAGTGCTCAGTGCAGCCCTCTCGGCGTGCACGCACGCCCCAAGACTGACGGGGCACTCCTGGTTGTCGCTGGCGAAAACGGCCACCCGGGGAGGCGCGGCGGGCGCCGCGGCCAGCGCGGGGGGGGGGGGGCAAGGGCCCACGCCCAACTCCGCGCGCCTCGCCGCAGCTGCTCGTCCTGATGTCGCAGTAGCTCCAGCGCTAGTTGCGGGCAGCGGAGCTCGTCGTCGTCGTTGGGCGCGGTCGCGAATGACGCGCGCGCCGTGCTCGGATCGGCTGCCGTTGGGCGCCCATGTCGCCCCCCCCCGACGGTCGGCTCACGCCCGCTGGTCTGTCTGAATCGAACGGGGCCGGTCCGCGGGGGAACCGGCGCACTGGGGGCGACGCAGGTGCAAGAGCCGACTGCGGCGGCCAGCTAGAACTCAATCCACGCGGCGCGCTTCTGCCGAGCGCAGCCGCGCAGGGCGCGCGGGCCCAGCTCGGAAACTGCGCGCGAGCAGCTAGTGGCGAGGGGGCGGCGGCTCGCGCGTTGAGGCCGCCCAACCAGTCGCGCCCCTTGGCCTGTCTCGGGGGGGGTGCGCCGCCAACTCGGGCGCGCTGCGATAGCGTCGGCGGGTCTGCTGGAGATGTCGGCGCCGCGGGCGCGGCCGGTGCCGGCCCCCCCGCCGCAGCCAGTGGGCCTGCGACGTAGTCGCGGGGTCCGTCGGCTGAGTCGAGGCTCGCGCGTGGCCCGTGAAGTCGCCCATCTCCCGTCGCAGTCGTCGTGGTTCGGCGTCGCGTGGGTTGGGCGACGAGGATGGGGGCGCTGCGCTAGCCCGTCGCGACCGCGTGCTGCGGCCCACTTGCTGCCGCGGGCCGTCCGACGACGAACTTGGAATGGCGGATGCGGCCGCAGACCGCTGCGCTGCCGACGCCGACGTCGGCTGTCCACCATTCCAAGGGCCAGCGCTCTGCGCGGAATCGCCGTCGCCCGGCCCCGCGGCCATGGGCGGCCAAGGTCTGGCGGCGCCCCTGCCCGTCCAGACCGCGCGCGCGCGCGCCCGTCAAATGCCGCTGCTCCGCTGAGCCCCGCGGCCCTGGCTGCGCCAGGTGCGGGGGCGGCGCGAGCACTGATGGCGACGTCGCGCAAAAGTCGAGAACCGCGGTTGCGGCGCAGGGGGGCGATCGCGCACATCAAGTGTTCTTCTGACTCGCACTCGCGGAATTAGGGGCGCGCCCCGCCAGGGCCCGCGGGGCTACCTCGGCGGCCCATCGCCTGCCCTGAATCACAATTTTTTCCATTGTCTCTGGTCTCTGCCCGCCCCGAAACCCGCGAATGTCTGTCGGGGGTCATTCTCGGACAGGTCGGCCAAGACGGCTCGGCGGCCTTTGCCGCCCCAACGCAGATGGGCCCAGACCGCCCCAGCTTGATCCAGCCGTTGTGTCGCGGACACTCTGAGGCCGATCTTGCGAGGGCGCGCCCGCGACAGAAGCTCGCCGTCGGGCCCGATGCACCGCTCGTGCGAGATTGCCGGGCGACCCCTGAATCGTGCGCCCAAAGCGTCGCAGCTGGCCCGTCGCGCGCGCGAGCTGTGCTTCGCTGGTCGGGTAGGCCGCGTCGGAGCGCTGCAAAATAATGGACAGCTGCTCGGCGGGCGCCCCGACTGCGCTGGGCGGTGGCTGGAATCTTCGTGGCCGACCATGAACTGACCAGCTCGTTGCGCGCGACTGCGGAAGATGTCGAAACGCGCGAGGTGGTCGCCAGTGCGCCTCTGCGGCAGTCGGTTGAATTTCATCAGTTCCGACGCTGCCGAGGCGAACCACTCCTCGCCCAGTTGGCCCCGACGGTCGGCCAGACAGCGCGTCGGGGAGGTCGTCGGCGGCGCTGGGTCGCCGTTGATGGGGGCCCCCTGCCGACCGACGGCGGGCGACCACTCGCCCGCGCGCTCGCGGGCCACCCAGCAAGGCGATGCGCGACGCGGGCCGCCCGGCGAAACTCGCGGAGGTCCGATTTAACCGCTGACGAGGTCATTCCGACATTCCCGCCCGCGCCCAACGTTGGAAGGGAAGCCGAGGCTGCTCTTCGGGCCCCCAGGTGCGGAGGTGTCGCATGCTGTCATACCCACCGCCCGTGCCCACGCAGGTCAGGCCGCTGGCCAATGCGAGCATGCCCGCTCCGATGGCCTTCCGTCCGGAATGGAGCCCCCCCCACGTGTCCAGGAGGTGCTAGTCCGGGACGCCACCGACGGCGTTGACCGTGATCCTCGGAGCCGTCGTGAGCTCCTGCCCCGGATGTGTTCCTCCTCGTCAGCGCGTTGGGCGCGGCATTCCGGTGCGTCGTTGTGCCGCCCGCCGCGCTCGGGACATCCCGCGACGTAGGTGTGGGAATGCACTTCGTGCGTCGTGTCATCGCTGTGATGAATGCCGCCGACTGCGCGATCGTCAAAAGGAGTGCGCATCGGGATCTCGCCCTGCCTGACTGAATGGGGGCTGGTGGGCGTGGCGGCATGTGATGTTCCAAGAATTCGAACGCACATTGTTCTCGATCTGCTTCGCCTTGGGGAACTGACAACATAGTCACCATGCGCTCCACTGACGTCCACCTCTCATCCAAACTCTCGTCCGCCAGCACTTCCCGTGGCTCTAGCATAGTTGTGAGCTGCTCGGGGTCCTTGGCTGAGGCTGCTGCTGCGAACTTTGCGTCGATCAACTGATCATGTCATGCACTTGGCTCCCCTCCTGTGGATATGTAAGACCATGAAATGGACAGAGCCACTGGATCCGCAAGCGACTCAAACTTACGCTGGGTAAGCCCAGGGTGAAAAAAAGGCAGGTACGGGCAGCGAGCCGCCGTCCTTGTAGCTTTTGAAGTCGTACTCTTCGTATAGCTTGTGATCCTTGCGACGGTTGGGAACAAACGTGAGGTTCGTGTAGTTGCCGATCCTGTAGTGGTTGTGATCACGCGCGCTTCCTTTCGCAAAATTGGAGCGAACAGTGTGCAAACGATCCAGCGCGTCGTTGAAGGGTAGGCCAGGAAATTGGAAATTGGGGCTTTAGAGGCCTGGGGGGGTAGCGGAACGGAGTCGCAGCCCCGCTGTGACCCATGAGCGAACATGTAGGGTGAAGGATCGTGTTTTGCTCGCTGGAGCGAAAGCGGTAAACGGGCGCCAGACGGGCGCGTTACGTACACTTCGCGCGCCCCAGTTCCAAATTGCAGCGGGTAGGCAAATGATAAGGGAAAGGCAAGGAAGGCAAGGCGATACAGGAAACTACCTTTCGAGCTGAAGGGAAGAGAGGAGTGACAAGAGAGGAAGGAGAACATATAGCCAACGAGATAAAAGAGGAGGAGAAAGAGGAACAGGAGGAGACAGCAGGAGGAACAGGGAGAGGAAGAGGAGGAGAAGGAGGGGGAGATAAGAGGAGAGGAGAGGAGAGGAGAGGAGAGAAGAGAGGGGGAATGATAAATATACAAGGAGAAGAGGGAGGAGGAGGAGGAGGAGGAGGAGGAGGAGGAAAGGGAGGAGGAGGAGGAAAGGGAGGAGGAGGAGAAAGAGTAGGAGGAGGAAAAGGAGGAGGAAGAGGAGGAGGAGGAGGAGGAAAACCGGCAGGCGCAGGCGGGATGAAGGATACGAGTGAAGCTTCGGATGGAAAAGGGAACTGTGGAGGGATATAAGGAAAAGGGAAGGGGGGGCGATGAAGAGGGCTATTCGCAAAGGGAAGGGCTTGTCGGTGTTCTGGGTGGCGCGCCGCTAGACTGGACCGTCCCACGAACACACGAGCAAGAAGAGGAAAAAAAAGGCATCGGGGATTCCAGTGAAGGACTAGCACGCACCTGCCTTGAAAGGTAGATCCCAAGATGCGAACATCACATATGATGGGCCATTTGTAGCAGAGGGAAGGAAAAGGAAGAGGAAGAGGAGGAGGAGGAGGAGGAGGAGGAGGAGGAGGAGGAGGAGGAGGAGGAGGGCACACACAAGGAAAAGGAGGGTGAAGAGCGGCAGATGGGGGACTGTGGACGGGGGGAGGAGGGCACACACAAGGAGTAGGAGGGTGAAGAGCGGCAGAAGGAATAAGGACTGGGGGAGGAGGGAAGAAAGGCGCGGAGCGCGTGACGGTGCGCCGGGGGCGGGGCTCATCGTAGACCGACCGCGTGAAGTCCGCGGTGGCCAAGAACTGCCTGCGCGCCCAGGTTGTGGAGGTCGTCGTCGTCGTCTTCGGAATCGAGGGTGTGGTAGTCGTCGCCGTCGGGGATGAGGGAGGATGGAGGGGGAGGGGGAAAAAGAAAGACACGGACGAGGATGATGACGATGAAGATGATTATGGGGAGGAGGATGAAAAGGAGGAGGAGGACGACGAGACAGGAGAAGGAAAGAGTAGGCGAAGGAGGAGACATCAGGAGAAATCAGAGAAGAAGAACGATAAGGAATGGGGGAGGTGTTGGACAGTTTTCTTGACTCTGTTCCTGTTCCAGCAAGAGCGTTACTTCACTTGGGCCAGATTCGCGCCTGGCGCGCCCGCCCGTCCCCCGCGGCCCGACAGAAGAAAACTACAGTAGTAGTTGGGGGATTCGGCTGCGTGTAATCAGAGGTTTGCAAAAAAGGCAACTGCCTTCCTGTCGGACTGCAAGCGAACAGTCGACGGCCAACGGGCTGCTGGCATTCCAGCGCGCATCTCCTGGAATGGGAGGGCGGGGGGATTGAGGAGGAGGAGGACAAGGTGGAGGACGGGAAGAGCAGCACGAACATCAGGAAAGGAGGTGAGGAATTATTCGTACCAGAACATAACGCGGCTCGCAGGAACGACTGTTCGACGGCCTGCTGGTCTGCGTGATGAGGGAAACCTATCGATGTACATTTGGATTTACGCATGTGCAAACACGGGGGAAGGAGGCAAATCGCAAAACAGCCAAGGACTCGCAAGAGAGGCTGCCCGAATACTAAGCGATGAATGAAGCATTCCGTCACTTGAGGAATCTTAGCCCAACAGTCAGCAAGGCTGCGCGTGCATTCGACCTCCTGCCTGAGATCAGCTATGCAACACATCCGTACGTGTTTTCGTCGCCGTCGTCGTCATCGTACCTCGTCGTCGTCGTCGTCGGTCGTCGCTCGTCGTCGTCGGTTGTCGTCCACGCTGTCGTTGTCGTTGGTAGTGCACCTCGCTGCGCGTCTCCTGAGAACTTCGCACAGGGCGCCCCCCCGGCGGCAGAGACATGGGCCGGGGCTCCTCGAACTTGCGCAGCGGAGCGCGGCGACCCAAACCGGCCCTCATCTCCAAGCGCGGCCCGCAGGGCAGGGCGGCCGCGGCCTCCGCAGACTTTGAGCCCCAGGGCCTGCGTGAACTTCGCGACGAGGGCGGCCTCGATACGCCCAGCTTCCACGTCACGGCGCTGGACGTCGACTCTCCCGCGCAAGAGCGCCCGCGAAGTCGCCGTCGGTCCAGGCCTCCAGCGCGAACCTCGGCAGCTGCTTCGCGCAGGTCGCCGCCGGCCATGGAGCTCCTTCGAGATGGCGTCCTAGTCGTCCAACAACTGCGCATTCCCCCAGAATGGGGTTCTGCAACGCGCTGCACCGCGCCGGTAGTCACTTGGTATATGTGAATGGGATGCAGACTCACCGAACGGCCGAACGGGCTGCGCCGCCTCAAACGCTGCGCTGGCTCGTCCGCCGTGTGCTTGATCTCTCGTAGATGATGACTAGAAGGACAGCCCGCAAGCGCATCTTGAATCAGACACAGTGGTATCGCCTGAAGAATTCGTTCCCCTGGTGGATCTGCGCGTTGTATTCGTCGGTGGCTGGTGCCGCCGAAGGGTGCAGCCCAAGAAGAACCAGCCAACGCGTCAATTCATATGCATGAGTTGTCCTCGTTCTGTCAATGTGATGCAAAACGTCAGCGGGGCTGCGCATGCAAGTAGTTTGGTGCACGTGCTGCAAGAAATCACTGCGGAGAGAGGCGAGGGGAAAAAGAAACGCAAGGAGGAAGAGGGGTCCAGATGAATCAGGAGATCCCGTCTTGATCGATCCCGGATGTCATATTATCCACATTCCGTGCGTGCCATCCTCTCGAAACACCCCGTGCCTGTCCCCACTTTCCCGTGGGCGTACAGAACCACTGCGTCTGCGGGCTCACCACGGACGAGCAACAGAAAGATAAAAGATATGTTTTGTGAGCCCCCGGGCCCCCGGGTTGCGCTGGACCAGAGTGTGTCCAGCATTTGCGATGGCCACCTTCACCTGCGCCAGACAGCTGCGCAACGCTTGTGCTGGACACCAGGGGCTCGTGCCTCGAATAAGGATCCCTGCTCCTCGGGCTCGCTGGGGCGTTGAGAGGCTGGCGTGACCCCAGCGCACAAAGCCCGCAACCGTGGAACCAAACAGGGTGCGGAGGGGGGAAGCAAGGAGGGGGCGCACGGCGGAGGATGAGGCGAACCATGGAGAAAGGTGAGGGGCAGGGGCAACCGGAAGGGGGATGGGGAGGGGGAAGGCGGGGAGGGGAGGAGGAAGGACCAAGCCAATCAGCACCCAGGTATCGCTGGCGACACCATGCTTTTTCCAGGCCGCCTCACGATGCCCTCAGAAGACGGGGGAGAGATGGAAAAAGAACGAGGCAATTGGAGGCGGCTGCGGGGTCTGAACTGGATGGGCCGGGGCAAATCCGCTCAAGATCTGTCCCCAAACACCTCCGAGGGTCCAGCTGGTGTCCCGGATGGGTTTTTTGACGATCCTGGGGTTCTGGAGGAGGGCGAACAAATAAAAAGCTTCTCGAATTCAGAACCTCGAACCTCGGCCCGCCGAACACCCTCAGCTGGGACCCGCCACGCCGACCTGCTCGGCGGAACCACTGCCGGGCCACCTCGGATCCCCAGCCCGCGCCAAGGAGAGAGGAAAACGGGGGGGGGAGGGAGGGGGGGCGGGGGAGGCGGAGGAGACGGAACACGAGGCCACGAGGGGGGGGGCGAGGTGGTGGACCGCGGCCGCGACAGCGGCGCGGACGACGCCGACCCCGCCGCCCGCGCCTCTTCACCAGGTCCTCCCGGACGATCGCCGCGAGCTCGTCGGCGGGCAGGCCGCGCCTCCAGGCGGAGCCGCCGGCGTCGAGGGAGGGGGGGAGGGGGGGAGGGCAAACTACATAGGTGCGCTCGCGTCATATATGATGTCCTACCCCTCCCTCCCATCCCTTACCATGGCGTATGTCGCCTCTCTATTCGCACTATCGGATGCCGCAGCATGGCATGGCATTACATGGCGTAGCATGGCGTTGAAGGTCAGAGCGTAGCATGACATAGCATGGTGTGGCTTCTGGCCCAGCAAATCAACGAATCGACACCGAGGGTGTAATCACTTGCGATGTGTGTTTCGGGAGGGGGGCACTTTCTAGATTTTGGAACCTATGTGGACGGAACGAAAAACATGCCGTGGCATGGCAATAGAAATAATGACGCCACGGCTGCAGCGGGAACGCGCTCTGGAATGAACGGAAGCGCGGAAATGAGGCCAGCGCTGCAGCGGGAGCGCGATTCGGAACGAGCGGTAGCCCGATCATGATGCCAGCGCTTCAGCGAGAGCAGCATTTTGAACAACAGCTCCAGCGCGGAAGCGCGGAAATGAAGACGCGCAGCCTGACAAGCATGGCGTGACGACGCCCCAAAGTGGCTGGCTTCTGCGGCCAAAGAAATCAACGAATCGGCACCGAAGGTGTAATCACTTCCGATGGTTTTTTCGGGGGGGGGGGGGGCACTGTTTAGACTTTGAGGTTATTTGGAAGGACCGGAAACCATGTCGTGGCATGGCGCTGGAAATAATGAGGCCAGCGCAACGGCGGGCACGCGATTCGGAACGAGCGGAAATGAGGCCAACGCTGCAGTGGGAGGGCGATTCGGAACGAGCGGTAGCCCGAAAGTGAAGCCAACGCTTCAGCGAGAACAGCATTTTGAATAAACACCCAAGCGAAAACCTGTTTCCCGGGAATCTTGCGTAAACAAAAAAACAAATGCGCGGAAGGGAACCGAATATTTCCCGGGCGCGGCCAGGGGAGAGAGGAGAGTAACATTCACACTGTTGAATTGTAGATGGAGCGGGGGAAAAGGGCAAGCTGGGGGCGTTCGCGTCTCATCCAATATCCGATCCTTCCCTCCCGCCCATGCCCATGGCACTGATTTCTCTCTCCGCGGACGCGTGTCATAGCAGACCTGCAGGTCGCACAGAAAGACCACTTAGTGTTGTGCGCAATCTTTGTTTTTTCTTTGGGCGAACAGCAACGGCAGGAACTAAAGCGGACTGATCGGGCGGGACAGGGGGGCGAGGGGAAGGTTGTAGGAGGGGAAAGGGGGGGCAACAACGATGAAAACAACTCGGATTCAGACAACTGACCCGCGCCGGGGCGAGATCAACAGCACCAGCCAGAACTGGAATGGAAGGGGTGGGAGGAACAGGAGGACCCGGCAGCGCAGGACAACCAAGAGTGCGTGGGAAAACGAACGCACCGCGAAAGCAACAAAACCTGAGAGCCGCAGCGGCGGCAGCGAAAACTGGCACCAAGAGGGGGCGGGCCTCGAGAAAACCGCCACCCGAGAATGCTGGGCTAAACAAAGCCCATCAGAGAACCAGTACGGGTCTTCTCTGGCCGAGCCAAGAAGTGAGTCTGGCCCCGCGCCAGTGCCAGTGCGCTTTCAAGAGCAACAAAAGGAATGCGTGAGCCAAGCGGCAGGTCATGGCTGGGGGCCCAGCCGCCAGCTGCCAAATACTGCGAGCCAGGCCCGCCTGCGCACGCCGCTCTGCGGCAACGCTCTGGCTGAGGCCTAAGCGGGGGGCGCGTGGCAGCGCCCCCCGCCTGCGGGGCCCTGCCCAGAACTGCACCACGGCAGCTGGGATGAAAAAGGGTTCGCCCGAGGCGGGCTGCCGGCCGCCGCGCCTCGCAAGGGCGCGCAGCGTGGCAACCGCCCTAATCCCCACCGCTCGCCCGGGACAGGTCGGGGGCAGGCAGCGCAGAAGAGTAACGCCGCTCTTTTCGGAAGGTTCGGGGGCGCGGGAAGTGCCCTGGGAGGTTTCTGAATGGCCTCGGGGAATAGGGGGGGCCCGAGAGGGACTCGGGTGGTTTTCGAGGGCCCGGGAAGGTGTTCCGGAGGTTAGGGGGAATGCGAATGGCTGGGAAGGATTGCTCAGAGTTCCAGAAGAATGTCGACAGCCTGGCAGGGTTTCGAAGGTGCACGGGGGCCCATGGGGGGTTTGGCTTGGGAACTTCCCGGAAGTTGCTGGACGGCACCGGAAAAGGGTTTCCGGAGGTAGTGGAAGGCTTTGGAGGGGCGCGGAAGGTGTCGGAGTTTTGGGCCGCAGCGGGAGCTCCTTCGGGTGCATTCGGGAGCGAATTTCCAAGCTGTTAGGGCCGGGGGGCGAAAATGTGTCAAAATCGGCTCGCGTTGTACGCGGGCTGGTTGTGCCCGACATTGCTTTGGCACCTCCGCTTGCTCAGGCACGTTTTGACCCCCCCCATTGTTGCGTCGTCGGCGGGGGGGTCGCGGCCGGGGAACCGCCCGAAACAAGAAAGCGCGTCGCGTGGCCCCGCGCCGGCCTGGGGAGGTCGGGGCGGGGGGGGGTCATCGGCGTTGGAAGAGGCGCGGGGCCCTGGTAGATTTAGATATCCAGAGCTCCGGCGGGGTGCGAATGGGCCGGGCGCGATTTCACCGGAGCAGAGGGCCGCGGCTTGGGGGCCGCTTCCGCGCCATCGCGGGCGCCGCTGGCTGTGGAACGGCTTCGGCGGGCTTTTACGGGAACCTTTGGTGTTCTTCTGGGCCGCGCCGGGGTTGTCTTGGGCCGTCTGGCGCCGCGGGGCTGTCGGGCCACCCTGCGCGTTCGAGGGCCGCCTGAGTGGGCGCATCTGGGCCGCAGTCTCGGAAACGCCCCGGCGCTCTCCAGGGCCCTCGGGCGGCTTTCTTGGGCCATGTGAGGGGGGCCCGTCGGGCGGTCAAGTGCCTCGGTGCTGTTTCGGGGGAATCTTGAAGCAATCCTGAATTGTTCAGAAGCCCTCGCTGGCCGCCCTGCGGCGATGGAGCGGGCGAGGGCGCGAAAACGCAGGAGAACATATGGAGCGCGCGCGGCGCTGCTCGTCGGAATTATTTGGCAATTCTATTTGTTTGAGGGGGTCTGGCTGAGAAGTTTTGATGCGGTCCTGGGGCCGCTGAGGGCATGGAGGCAGCTTTGGGCCATTGCGGGGGGGGGCCGCGGCCGTTTTGGATGCATTCTTCGGCAGTCTGGGCGTTTGAGCGCGAGGTGCGCGCGCGCGCGTCTACGGTTCGAACGAAGCGGGGGGGGGGGGAGAATGAGGCGGACGGCGGACGGATGAGAGGGGAAGGGCGGCGGGGGCGAGGGCGGGCACGAGGGCGGGGGCGAGTTCGGAGGACCGAGCGAGAGGGCCCTGAGCGGGAGCGAGAAGGAGAGGAACGAGGGCGGGAACGAGGGCCAAACAGAGGGCCAGAACGAAGGCGAGAACAAAGGCGGGCACAAGAGGCGAGGGCAAGAACGATCGCGAGAACGAAGGCGGAAGCGAGGGCAGGAACTGGGGCCGAAACGAAGGCGGGGGCGCGAGAACGAGGGCGAACGCCAAGGCGAGAACGACGGCGGGAACGAGGGCGGGAACGAGGGCGGCAACGAAGGCGGGGGTGAAGGCAGGGGCGAGGGCGAGAACGAGGGCGAGGACGAAGGCGGGAACGAGGGCAGGAACGAGGGCGGGAACTGGGGCGGGAACGAGGGCGGGAAGGAAGACGAGAACGAGGGCGGGAACGAGGGCGGGAACGCACGCGGGAACGAGGGCGGGAACGAAGGCGGGAACGAGGGCGGGAACGAAGGCGGGATCGAGGGCGGGAACGCAGGCGGGAGCAAGGGCGGGGATGAGGGCGGGGGGCCGCCTCTGGGCGCCTCCGGGATTCCTTCGGGCGCCTGTGGAACCTCCGGGCGTTTCTGGGAATCCCCCGGGCGCCTCTGGAACCTCCGGGCGTTTCTGGGAATCCCCCGGGCGCCTCCGGGCAACCTCTGCACCTCGGGGGGGTGCCTCCGGGAAGTCTGTTTGAGGTCTGTTTGAAAGGTCCGTTTGAGGTCTGCTTATGATGGTCTGTTTGAGGTCTGTTCGAGGTCTTGCCGAACCTTTGCTTCAATTATGATTTCCCCGGGCGGCCCTTGGGCCCCCCGGGCGGCCTCCGGGCGGCCCCGGAACGAAGGCGAGCACGAATGGGGCGCGAAGGCGAGAACGAGGGCGGGAACGAAGGCAGGAAAGAGGACGAGAACGAGGGCGAAAACGAGGGCGGGAACGACGGCGGTAACGAGGGCGGGAGCGACGGCGGGAACGAGAGCAAACACGAGGGCGGGAGCGACGGCGGGAACGAGGGCGGGGAGCGACGGCGACGGCGGGAGCGAGGGCGTGCGGCTTCGTAAGCGCTTCCGGGCAAGAGCGAGGGCGGGGGCGCAGGCGACGACGAAGGCGAAGGCGAGGGCGAGAAAGAGGGCTGCAGTGAAAATCGCCTCGGGCGGGGGCGAAGGCGGGCGCGGGGGCGAGGGCGGAAACGAGGCCGCGCGCGGGGTCTGGGGCGAGGGGGGGGGGGAGGGCGAAAACGAGGGTGGGGCGCCGAGGCCGAATAACGAAGACTGACGCTCGACGCGGAGGAGGGGGGGGGGCGAGGACGAGGGGGGGGGGGGGATGGGAGGGCGAAAGTGGGGATCGGGGCCGAAGGCCGACGGGCGGCAGCACGTGGAGGGCGACGGAGACCGATGAAGGAGGAAAAAGGATTGGGGGGGTTGAGGGGGGAGAGGAGAAGGAGGGGGGTTGGTGCATAAGGGAGAGGGGGGGCAAGGGAAGGAGGAAGGAGACGAACTGAAGAGGAGGGGGGGGATGGGGGAAGAGGAACGAGAGTGGGGGCGCCTCTCCCTCTCCCCCCGTTCCTGCGGAGGGGCCCTCCTCCTGGTCCTCCTCGGCGCCGTTGTTCCTCCTCCCCCTCCTCCACCACCTCCTCCTCCTCCTCCTCGTTCCTCGTTCCTCGTTCCTCGTTCCTCGTTCCTCGTTCCTCGTTCCTCGTTCCTCGTTCCTCGTCCTCCTCCTCCTCCTCCTGCTCCTCCTCCCTCCTCTTCCTGCCCCTCTCATCCTCCTCTTTTTTTTCCTCCTCGTCCTCCCCCCCCTCTTCCACCCCCTCCTCTCGCGCCCAGGGTCCGGCGCCCCGGGGCAAACAATCGCGCCCTGGGCGGGGGGGGGGGGGCGAGGGCGGAGGCGGAAGCGAGGGCAGAGGCGAGGGCGTGAACGAGGGCAAAAACAATGGCAAGAAAAATGGCGGGGACGAGGGCGGGGGCGAGCGCGAAGATGGGAACGAGGGCGGGGGCGAAGGCGAAAACGAGGGCGGAGGGGCCGAGGGCCGGGCCGAGAATCGAGAAATTGCGCCCGGCGCGGGGGGGGAGCGACGAGGGGAGAGACAGGATGGGAAAGAGAAGCGCGGTGGTGCATTTTCCGGGGGGGGGGGGGGCACGGGGCGCAATCCCTGCCCCGGGGCCCACGGCACGGAGGAAGCGCAGAGGAGGGTTGCGGCTAGGCTGGGAGAGACAGCGGCGAAGAGAGGGAGAAAGAGAGAGAGAGAGAGAGAGTGTTTCTTGTTGGAATGCGCGCGCATCCCCCCCCTCAACGGGATTGTTGGGGGGTGGGGTGCTCCTGCGCGCGCCGTGCGATGCTCGCGCCCCGGCCCCCGCCGTGCCTCGGCCGCGTCCGAGAGCAAAATCGCTCCTCGCCCCCGCCCCCACGCCGCCCCCGTGGAAAGGGGAAAGCGCATCGCTGCGCGAGCGCGCCTTGTGCCGCGCGCGCGCGGATCCAGCGCTCCAGCGACTCCCGGACCCCGACTTCATGATGTTTTCATGGCGTCGGCTCCCAGAGGTCTCGACCCATTCCCCGGGGCTGGCTCGCCATCCCGAATCATTTCCTGACGGCCCCGCAACCTGGCAGGGTGGCCCCCGTAGCCGAAAAGAGCGAAGCGCATCCCGTCGTGATTCTTTCATGGCGTGAAAATTATTGTCCTGAGGTAACCGATCGATTTCCTAAGGGCCCCTGTGGGTTCCCTTTGGAACCCTATGGATTCCCGGAGGAATCTTATGGATGTTCGACGGAATCCCATGGATGTCCTACGGGTTGCTAATAGAATCCCAAAAAAAGGAATCCCATGGATTCCAAAGGGAATACCATTCTTTTCGCGCCCCCTTCGCTCGTTGGAACAATCGCACTTGCGCAGCGTGCCCCGCGCCCTCCGCCCCGAACTGCCACAACTCCGATGGTACTATGATTCGACTCTGTTTTGTCTCTGGCCTGAAACTCTGGTTCATCCCTGGTTTAGATGAAACTCGGATTTAGCTCTGACCTGGAACACTGACGCAACTCGGATGCCGAATCAGAAATCAAAGTTCAGGCCATACCTAAATCAGCATGCCAAAGCTTCGGGATACTATTGGACCTGGCTGATTAGCTCTCGAAGCTAGATCGCACCCAAGGCGCGCGCTGAACAATAGGGCGGCCACCGAATGATGGCGAGCCGCGGAGAAGATGCCTCGCCATGCTCGCGCGCGCTTCGCGCGGCAATGTTGGAGAGGCTCTTTCCGCGTAGACCGCTCCTGGGCCGGGGGGGCAAGTCCGAGGCGGACGCGCCGCGATCCCGATGGACACCCATGCCCATCTCGATGGCATATCTTTCAGCGCGGCCTACAATCTGAACCAGATACGACACTGGGCCGCAGATCGCCCAGAGCCCACGTTGCAGACGCTCTGCCCAGGTCTCCCGGCTTAAGGCAGTAACTGACGTGGAACCTGCGCCGTCCGCGCAACTGTTGCCCCCCCCCCCCTCCCTCCCCCATCCGCGCGCTCCCGCTTGCAGACGTCAGACCTGGCCTGTCTATCGCTAACGCCTGCAGGGGGCTCGGGGGCCCCGTGGACGAGGTAAGCTTGTTCCCGGGATCGTCGACCGAAGCCCTCCCCGGCGCGGACTAGCCGTTCCCGAACTTCAGTTTAGTTCCCAGGGTGGGGGTTTGCTCTCGTCGTCGAGCCGCCCTTCTAGCAGCGGCGGGCAGCCGTGCAGAATGCGGCCTCAGCCATGATCGCTCTCCTTGCCGCGCGCCCGGCAAGGGCGCGAAGGGCCTCTGGCCTTCTGAGCAGAGCGCGCAGGGGCATAAATGCCATCTGCCCGCGGGGCGCGCCAGAACGGCGCGATCTCGACGCGCGCGGCCGACTTGGGCTGCGCGCGGACGGGCCGGGCCGAGGCAGGCGTGACCGTGGAGAAGCGGCCTAAACATCTGTCGCGCTGCCGCGGCCGAGCGCCACCGACCAGCGACTTTTTGACGCCCCCGGGGCAGGCGCGAGGGAGGTCGCGCGCGCTGGATAAACCGCCCATGACAGCGCGGCCAGGGCCGAGCTTCCAAGCGACCCCCGAAGAGGGGGCCATACAGTTCCCAGAGGTCCCTTGCCTTCGCCCAAGTGGGCTCGCCCCCGAACTCGGCCTGCATGCGCCCCCGGGCGCGGCGCGGCCTGGAAGGCTGAATCTTGGAGTCCCAGATCCGTTCGGCGCTTTCGAAGGGCCGCCAGTAGAGAAGCATAATGAGTGGGGTCATACATATCATTGGATTGGCTGAAGACATTCGTGGAAGACCTGCCCGGGGCCCTGCCCGTCGCCGCGATCAGACGCTGCCCCCTCGAGACAGCGCTGGTCGCGACGGCGGCGGCGGCCCCGCGGCCGACCGACGGGGGCGCGCAGATGCTCGACGGGGGCGACGCTCGCCGTCCAACGGCCGCGCCGCCGTGCTGGAAATTACGCGGGGCTCTTCTTCTCGCCATTGTTCGGATCGCGCGGGGTCCCAGGAGCTCGTTGCCTACATTTCTCAGGCGGGCCTTGCAGGGTTCCCGGGCAAACCCGCGCGCCCCTGGAGAGCGCCCCCTCAGTCGCGTTTTCCAGGGGCCCCGCCCGACTCGGAGACCTCGTGGGTCACGCCGAGCCCCTCGTTGTCCTGGACGAAGCCCTTGACGGCGATGGGCGGGCATTTGAAGCCCCGCGAAATCCAGGCGATGCTCTTAAGCCAGTTCGCCCATGAGGGTCCGAGGCGCATCCGTCGGCGACGCCGGGTCAGCGCTCGACAAAGCGCTGAGCGCGAGCAGGCGCAGCAGGTGGGCCGCGCGAGCGCGGCCAAAAAGCCCCTCGTCGAGCAGCGGCGCCACTGGGCGCCCGCAAAAGAGCTCAGACGCGCCCGGGGAGTTGGCGCGCCGGGGCATTCCAGGAGACGCGTGGGAAATCCCAGAGCACGCCCGTCGCGCGCGAGAGCATGGGGGTCTGCAGTTTCGGACCATTCCGCCGCGTCTAGCGCGGCGCTCTCCGCGCAGTCGGGCCACCTCCTGCCGGGGGCCCCGATGGAAGGCCGAGTCTGTCTGAGCATGTCCAGCTCGAATCCCCCACATGTCCTCGCAATGGCAATGCTCGCGCCGCTCGTTCGAGACCGGCCGTCGCCCCCCCGAACAAAAAAACTGAGCAAACTGTTTCTAACATCAATCAACCTCGTGCCCCCGTCGGGTTTCGGGGCTCGTGCAATATCGCTTTAGATTCGATCTCCTGGCCATGCCAGCCAGCGCTCAAACGGCGTGAACACATTCCGCCAGCGCCTGCAGCACCTGATCAGACTGGGCGCCCAGACGCCGAGAGAAAAAAACCCAAAAAAAGAAAAAAAAAAAAAAAAAAAAAAAAAAAAAAAAAAAAAAAAAAAAAAAAAAGCGGGACGGCCCCGCCGGGACCTCCCGCCGCGCGGGGTGCATCGCCGCGCGCCGCAGCTCGCGCACGTTCGGCAGCGATGCGAAGCGTGGTCGGCCGAGCCGAAGTATCGCGCGGCAGGGCCGGCGCGGCAAGACCACGATGCTGCCGCACCTTTGTCCAACAATCCATAGCTCGGTCAGGAAAAAGACAAGGCGGAAGTTCACTGCTGTGCTTGGGAACCTCGGCCTGGGCCCGCGCCTTCGATGCGGCGTTCGCCTAGCTGGCGCCGCCAAGAAAAGCATCGCGGGCTCGCTCGCACCGGGCCTTCCTTGTCTGCGGCTGCTCGGGCCTTGGCCAAGTGCCTGTCAGCGCTGTCCACGGTCGCTTGGTCCGCGGCTTCAAACGTAGGCCAGCTTTACAAGGCCTGCCTTGACAGAGTCCTGGAACACTTCGCCCAAGTAAGACGCAACGTTCAGTTCTCATCCGATATTGCAATAGTGGCGCCCGATCTGGCCAAACGCCTGCAGCATGCAAAGCTCGCTGACTGCACGGCAGAGTTTGAGTCGCTCACAAGACCCGCGTACCCTTCCCCGTCTCAGGCAGGAGATGCGCGGCTCACCGCCTCGCAGTGGCCCGCGCCTACTCCCTCATCCATCCTCCTCTTCCTTCGAATGATGACGGCTGTCGTCACAGCTTGCCTGGGCGTCGGTTTCGGATGGGCTGGTGGGGATGCGCGGAACGTCAAGAAAAATTAACGGATTCGCGGAGTCTCGCACGTGTGCGTTCTCACTCCTTGCCCCTTCCTTCCGTCATCCTCCCCCCTGCCTCTCGTCCTCCCACCCGTGCCACAAACTTTCTTCGAGCCCGAAACGCAACAAAGCCTATGCCCAGCGGTGGGTTCATATGATTGCCCGCTTCCCCGCCTGCACGCCGTGGTCGCGCACACATGTCGGTACCGCTCCAGGTGAGGAAAATCCGTGGAGAAAAGCTGGGGACGGATCTCTGAAGGGCTGTTCTGGATTCGTGGCCCCGCTGCATGAAGTGTTACGGTATGGGCCCAATATGAACACATGCTGGGGCATGCCCTGAGGGGGGAAAATCCTATCAAACCGAACGTGCATTGAGAAGCAAAGGGGCCGCCGTCGCCGTCGCCGCCGCCGTCGCCGCCGTCATCGTCGCCGCCGTCGTCGTCGTCGTCGACGTCGTCGCCCTCTCAGCCGTGCCCCACCGCGGCCGGCCTCTTGCCCTCCTCCGGCCCCGCCGCCAAGCAGGGGCCGGGGAGCACCGGGGCGAGGACGAGGCCGGCGGCGGCCAGCGCCCTCGTCGGCAGGGCGGGGGGGGCGGGGCAGAGACGGGGAGCCTGGCCCTCCACGCGTGTCCTTCCTCACCACTGATGACTCTGATGCTTAAGGATTGGCAGCAGCTTCAGAGATGGAGGGCGGGCGGTTTTCAGAATGTGGCTCTCGCCGTAGCGCCGCGCACATTCGTTTTAAACATTTGTGATAGTATCATGGGTTGAGGGCGGGTGGTTTTCAAAATGTGGCTCTCGCGTTAGCGCCGCGCACATTCGTTTAAACATTGGCAAGAGCTTCACGGATTGAGGGTGGATGATCTCTCGCCTCGCGCACTTTCGATTCCAAAAATTGGTGTGAAGTCCTGAAAACGGTGTCTTGGCACGCTTCAAGGTATTCGCACGGTTGTCCCCCAACGTGGCAATTCCCTGTGGAAATGACCCCGTGTCGTGGCCTGCGAAGAAGGATCTTGGAGGGAGGGTGCAGTCCAACATCGTCGATGAGTAATGGGTTTGCACAGGTCCTCCACCTCCTCCTCCTCCTCCTCCTCCTCTTCCTCCTCCATCCATCCTTTCGCTTCTCCCCTTCCTCCTCCTCCTCCTTCTCCTCTTCCTCCTCCTTCTCCTCCTGCTCCTCGGTTGATCGGCAAATGGGTTCAAGCCTAGTCGCTACGCTACGAAGGGTCCGCCGACCCTGTCGGCGTGTGGAAGAGGCTTTTTCGTTCGACTCGTAGTTTAGCAACGTTGTAATTGAGTCGAAGGGAAGCCCTATCCCTTTGACCCCTTCCCCGCCAGGGGGGGGTCCCTGGGGTGGGGTCCCGGGGGGGTCCTGCAGGGCAGATACGACTCCCCCTCGGGCGGTTCGGCGGCCAAGAAAAGCCGCAGGACGCGGAAAAAGTGGCGGTCCCCCTCAGGACCCCTGCCCCCGCCTTGGACCCCGCTCCAGCCCCGGTCCTGGCCCGGCCTGGCCCTGCGGCCCTGGCCCCCAGCCCCGGCCCCAGACCTGGCCCCCTGGCTCCGCTGGCCACGGCCTTAGCCCCCCGGCCCCGGCCTCGGCCCCGACCCCGACCCCCGTCCCGGCCGCGGCCCCGGCCGCAGCCCCGGCCGCGGCCTTGGTCCTGGCCCCAGCCCGTCGCCTCCCTAACGGCCGCCCCCGAGGAGACACACGGCTCTCCTCCTCCTCCTCCTCCTCCTCCTCCTCCTCCTCCTCCTCCTCCTCCTCCTCGCATCGCATGAAGAGGTCCAGCCGAGCAGGACACACTAGCGTAGCGCGCATCTACGGGTGCACGCAGCTCAAGACAGACCTGAAAAGGGAGAGGGGAAAGAGAGAGAGAGCGAGAGAAGGTACTGTCTTCTCCCCCTTGCTTTTCTCTCCTCCTCCTCCTCCTCCTCCTCCTCCTCCTCCTCCTCCTCCTCCTCTACCACCTCCTCCACCTCCTCCTCCTCCTCCTCCTCCTCCGCTTCCTTTGCCTCCTCCTCCTCCTCCTCCTCCTCCTCCTCCTCCTTGTCCTCCTCCTCCTCCTCCTCCTCCTCCTCCTCCTCTTCCCTCCACCGCCCGCCCCATGTCCCGAGCTTATGGCAGGGTCATCAGCTTGCCGTTGTCGTTTTGTCGTCGTGGTCGTCGTCGTCGTCGTGGTCGTGGTCGTCGTCGTCGTCGTTCTGGGTCGGCGGCACAGGCCGTCAGGCCTTCACAATAATACTTACAGGATAGAGAGCATGCGGCAGCAGCAGCAGCATATGCACGTGCGCGAGCGGCTCCTGCCTGCACCAGTCGGCGAAGGTGGTAGGCAGCACAGAGATGTTGCACCACAGAACTCAACAACACACGGTGCACTGCCTGAGGCGCAGAGGTCCTCCTCCCTCTCCACATCCTTCATTCGATGGGGACGGGGAGGGAAGGGACGAGCTGTTGGCGTAGACATCGTCATCGTCACTGGCGGCCAGCGCCCTCGTCGGCCAAGAGGGAGGGGAGGATCGAGGATCGCGGGCCGGATACGGGAGAAGGGGGGGTTCTTTCTGTGCAACTACTTCGCAGTAGGCATACACATATCTATATCTCAATGACTGTAGATTGCACTGATGAGTTTGCACCTGGGCTAGGGCTGGGGCCAAACCCGTCCCAGTGCCAGCAAAGGGCAAGGACATCAAGGATTGGGAAAACAAGTGCCTGTCCTCAGCCCCCCCTCCATCCTCCTCCTTCCCTCCTCCTTCTTCCTCCGCGTTTCCCTCCTTCCTCTGGACCTCCCGACCCCATCACTGGAACCAGTTCTTCGTCCTGGATCAAAGGAAGTATGACGGTCCCGACGACGAAAATGACGAAACAACTCGAGAGCGGTTCATTGCGAGTCGCCACGGGTCCGAGGCTTTTCTCCTCCGCCCCCCCCCCGTCGGGGACGTTCCAACTGGGGTCAGCGCCGCTAGCCCGGGTCAGCAAATTGAGATCCTGGGCTGGCCACCATGTGCTTCCAAACCCGGATCAGCGGAAGGACGAGAAAAGGGGATCGGCTGCACAACTCCGCATGGTTCTTTCCCCATGCGCGAGAGGCTTGGGTCACTGCCTGCGCTCGTAGAGGCCCCTCAGATGGGTTCTAAGTAAATGGGGTCGGAGGATTGCGCCGCATCGCCGATCCACCACCGATGCATCCGCGACGTCGGCGATGCAACGGCGACGTCCGCGTGCAGAAAATCAGGCTCCCCATCGAATCGCATCGCCGATGCATCGGCGATGCGGCGCGATCCTCCGACCCCATCTGCTCGAGGAGGCCCGCAGCGAGAGGCCCGGGCCACTGCCTGCGCCCCTTCGTGGCCGCGGCCCGGGCCGCCATCCCCGGGCCGCCATCCCCGGGCCTCCGCCGGCCAAGCGCCCTCGGCGGCGGCGCGAAGGCCCCGGCCGCACCCGGGCGCAAGGCCGCCGCCGCGGCCAGCGCCGCCAGCGCCGCTGCTGGAACGGCTACGCGGCATCCCTTGGGGGGGGATGGGGCGGGGGGGGGGGGGCGGGTCGGAGAGGGGCAGAGGGAGGGGGGGGGTAGGGAGGAGGGGGGGGGAGGGGGGACGAGGAGCAGCACCTTCGCTCCCGCGGCGGGCGGGGGGACAATGGGGCAGGGAGGGGCAGAGGGGGGGCGAGGGGAAGGAGGGAACATGACTTTCGCGCCCGTGGCTGGACAGAGAAGAGGAGGAGCACAAACAGGGAGACGGGGGGGGAGGGAGGGGGAACAGGCGGAGGAGGGCAGGAGGTGTGGTTTCCGCTGTTGTTTCGTACCTTTTTTCTAAAGACAGTTCCACTCCGCTCGGGGGAGAAGCAGGAGGAAAACGGGTGCACTGCCCATCAAGGGGAAGAGTCAAACGGGGATAAAGAAAAACGGGTTCGGGGAGGAAAAAAAAGGGAATGGGAGGGCTGGAGCAGGAGCAGGGGCAAGTGGCAGAGGGTGGCGGGGAAAGACGTCCGTGTACACATTTACATACACACATACCCATATTCATACAGTATGCAACATACAGCGAGTTATACAGAGAGAGAGAGAGAGAACGAGAGAGAGAGAGAGAACGAGAACGAGAACGAGAAAGATAAAGAGAAATAGAGAGAGATAACAGAAAGAGAGAGAGAGAGAGAGAGAGAAACAAAAAAAAAAAAAACATGAGGAGGAGGAGGAGGAATAGGAATAGGAATAGGGAGCCCTGGGGCGCCGCACCGTCTATCCAGCCTGACTTGAGTGTGGGACCTAGGTTTACTTCTATCCTAAGGCATCTGGCGGGTGGCCTGCGCGCTGATCAGCGCTGCAATGCAGGCTGACACTGGCCCAGTCGCGCACCCTGATGGCGCGCAGCCAAGCGGCCGCCGCTATCAGCACCAACCTCAGGGAGCATCTTGCCCGAGTGGCACTTCGCATTAAGGGGATATGATGTGACACCACTAAGAGCGCCTGAGAGTAGAGGCCCCGCGCGGCCACAACTTCCCTTCACGCATTCCGAACAACACCTTTTTCCACGTCCGGGACCTCTACCTCTGAGAGGGGTCAGGCGTGGAAACTCAACTGCAGGTCCCACTTCGGGGGCATTTATGAATGTTACACAAGTGTGTGGAGGTTGAGAGGGAGGGCTCAAACCAGGAGGGGGAGAGATCACAGTAGGAGTGATGACAGTAGAAGGGTTGGGAGGAGATTGGCCCTGTACGCGCCTGGCCGCATCCTCCGAAAGCTGCCCTGACCTCAGGAGTGCCATGGCCCGCTCGCTCTGCCGCAAGTCGAAGCCCGCCGAAGCAGAAGAGGAGGAGCGCCCACGACCCCCGCCGCGTCCAGCAGCGTGGACCCCCTGGTTTACCCGAGGGGGGCTCTCCCTCACTTCGCGGCGTCCAACAGCCGCTGTGCCTCCCGCGCCAGCAGGCTCCTGGGCGTTCCCCCGATCGCCTTGACTCCGCCAGCCTGCTTCAGCGTGAACCGAATCGCGTGCAGCAGCTCCGTGCACTCGTCGGCCTCGCTCGCCAGCAGGAACTGAACTTTGACCAACTCACCCCCGCCCCTCTTTGCCTTCAGACGCTCGGCCTCGCAGAAGCGGGCCATGTCCGCTAGCTGCTCGGGGCTCTCCGCCTTCATCACTGTGGCCTCCCAATGCTTCTGAGCGGGAATCTTCTCATGCCCCAGCTCCATCGCGCCCTCGCCCTTCGCGGAGGCGCCCTGGATCAGCGCGCTGAACACTCGCAAGTGTGGAGCGTGGAACTTCTTTTTCTTCTCGAAGTCCGCCCTCCCTTCCGCCAAAGCTGCCCCCCCTTCTCGCGCCCCGCCTGCGCCTCCGCGTTGAAGGCCGCGTTCTCGTCGAGCATGAGTTGCGCCGCCGCCGCGTGCAATGGCGCCAGCCGCGCGTCGTCCGCCGCCCCGATCATCGCCCTCAACTCCGCCTCGTCTGACATCGCCAATTTGGCGAGGGCCGCGACGAGCTCCTCCAGCCGCTGGCGCCTGCTGCCTTGAGCCCCCTGGGCCCCCTTGCTGCCTTGACCGCCGCCAGCGGCGCCGCCCGCCGCGCCCCCTACGGTGGCCATCTCCTACGCGGGAGTCTCGCCGCCTGCTCGCTTTGCCATCCAAGCCGGGCGTTGCGCCTCTGCCGTGCTGATGCGCGGGCTGCCGCGGCTGCGCGGGCTGATACCCTGTCGCGCAACAATGTCGGTGCCGGTCGTAAACTCCAAGATCTCAAGGAAAACGGATACGGACGTGCTGTTGATACCGTGCCATTTCTGACCCATTGAATCATAACAAACACTGTTGATAAGTTGCCTCGCGCAAGGGTTCTTGCGCGCGCCCCCCCCCCCCCCCCGCGCGCGCGCCCGCCCGCCCGCCGCCCCCCGAGCAACGGCAGCCCCGAATCAAAAAGCCCGCCAAGTGCCTACTAGCCCTTACTTGAAAAATCTCCATACAGTTGGGGCACTGGTTGGTTTTGCATAGCACGTGGCCCAGAGATCTGAAACCACGATGAAAACGCTCATGGTGCAGGGCTGCTTTTTATCAGGTAGAACTTCACCGCGTAAAATCTTCTCCCCAGAATCACGAATAGAACAGACACCACACACCCACTTAAGACCTCCTTCCGGCGCGTTCACCTCCCCCTACAAGCTGGTGGCCACGTTGGGCCGACAAACATAACCAGGTAGGGGAATCGCCACAATATGCTGCCTGCGTCGGAGAAGAGCGCAATCGATTTTGCAGAAGCATTTTCCGACCTCCTCATCCCACCGCAGCGCCCATAAATAACCTTGCAAACGGGCGAGCAACTCCTCGCCCTCCTCCAGAGCAGCCAAGCTCTCCAAGTCGGCGAAGAATAGTCTCGCCCATGGGTTGGCATAAACAGTGAGACGCCCCATGTAGTCGCACTGAGGCCAGCCATCAATGGGGAGCTCGGCGAAAAGAGCGGTGAACACATGAGCGTGGCGAACAGGGAAGCGCGCAATCTGCGCCGGCCAATTCGAACGACGAACGCGAAGTTCCAGGGAAGCGGGGGTCAACCTCCAACGCTGCAGGACTCGACCTTTAGTTATAATGTGCCCATGCCGATCTCCATCCCAGCTGCCCCCCCCCTTTCATAGCCACCCTACAGTGCTGAATGAAAGCCGTGCCGATGCGCTTACTCTGCCCCTCAGCAATCAAGAAAGCCTCAAAGTTCTGAAGCCCAACATTCTGAACGCCCAGAAGAACAGACAGTCGAAGCCTATATGCTACCTCCTTCGTAGACCAAACCATCTTCAGATAATGAGAAGGAGCTTGCAGAGCTGAAATCCTCTGATCAACCTCCACCCCAATTAAACCTGTAGCATGAGCCCCCCCCCCCCAAATAAAAAAAGAAAACATACACGCATGCGAGGCGCGACGCCTCCAAAGAAAAAAGGACTGCGATCGGCCGGTAGCCGACGATTAGCAGCAGCGACGCCTCGGCCAACAAATCAGACAACGGCGCGCTGCTTCGCGACATTCTTAGCCCACCCGCCTTTGGCCAAGACGACGCCCAGTAAACTGTTGCAGTGCCAGTTCGCAGTGCTCAAAACTTCTTGCGCAGCATCGGCCCGAGTATGGGGTTGGAGTACAAAGGCACAGAACCCCTGATCCGTTGGTAGAGGAAAGGAGGGAAAGATGGATATCTTTTCCTCCTGCACGATCAAAGGTCTGATCGATCTATTCCAATATCTGAGCCCAAACGGCCGGGCGCAGGGGAGGTGAGGATAAGGAGTATATATGAGGGTATTACACGGGTTCTATTCCCACACCCCGTCCCGAATCCCGCCTGCGAGGGCAGGACTCGGGAACAGGAGAAAAGATCCCGTCACCCTTTTACTCCTCAAATCCTCAGGTCTGTCAGGCAGCTGAGCGTGAAATCTGTATCGCGTCAGCTGCGCCCCAATCGCGATAGCGTTCACGATTAGGCAAGATAAGGTAAGAAGGAACACACAGGGTCCCTGTTTCTTCGCCAAGCACACTTTGGTGCCCCCTCGGCGCGCCCCCCCAAAACGCTTCGGCACTCGAGGGCGGAGAAGAATGAGACGCGGGCGGGCGGAGCAAGATGATCTGATCAATTAAAGCAACATCGGAAGCTGCCGCGCCTGAGCGCGGCAGGCGTTGCCACCAGCTCTCAAACTAGAACTGGGCATCAAATCATTCTCACCGCAATTTGAACATACTGTAGAGAATAAGCGAGAACAAATGTGTATTATGAGGTCGTGCTGAGGAACACGATCGTGTTAAGAAACACGTCTAAACATAAAAACAAACGTCTGGTCAGACGCAAAGTCGCGTTGATAAACACGAAAAGCTGCATACATAAATTCTGCATATCGTTACTCCCCTCGGCGTTGCTCCTTAGGAGGCTGCCTTGGGTTTCACAAGGGTAGATGTGGCCACTTTTCTTGGATCGTGAAGTGGCCTAAAATGATATGGTTAGTCACCGCTCGAGGCGAACTTGTATAAAGATGAAGTTCGAGCCAATCGAGCGGTGGGCCTCGCGGCCGACTACGCTATGCGTCGCCCCTCGCGCAGAACCTCTGGTCCCACACCCTGTGGCCATCCCCCGCGACGTAGCTCGTCGCGAAGGTCTCCCAGGGCGTCCTCGGGGTCCAGTGGCGGTCGCTGGCGTACACGAACTCATCGTTGTTGTCCGCGATGTATACCCAGCACTTGGCGTAGTAGCCCCCGCACCTGGGGCCCCACTGGCTCTCCTCTAGGTTCTTGCGCCACCACGTCGCGTAGTCCTCCGTCCTGCGCGCCCTCTTGGCGCGGGGAGGTGTCGTGGGTCTGCGGCTGTCGTCGCCGCTCTGCCGCTGCGCGGCTGCGCCGCGCGGCCCAGCGGGCGCGTCGCCCTGCGCGCCAGAGGCGCTGGGTCCAGCAGCGTCGCCAGGAGCGGGGCGCGGCGGCGGCGGCGGGCGCCGCGGCAGGTGTGGCTCCATGGCGCCATGAGAATGTGAAGGGTATGTATCAGGATCGATCGGATC